AGAGAATATCAAGAAAAAGTCAGGTGGTGTTTATATATATATATATATATATATATATATATATATATATATATATATAAAAAAAATATGATTCCAAATCGCGACATAAGAAGTCCCATGTTTCAAAAAAGAGCCAAAACTTCAATATAATTATTTAAATTGAATTGAGTTAAAATAAGCTCTGTTCCATCTTCAACGAAATTTTTTTTGGAATAACGTGTTTCTGAAATTTACGTGTTTTAAAAAATGTCGCGATTTGGAATCATATTTTTAAATAAATAATTATATTTATGCTCTACTTTTGTATCAAGCGCTATTTTTTAAAAATAATAACTAAAATACTAAGGGACTTTGGATTATTTACCTAACCAGTTCCTTCCTATTTTCTATATATTTTCACACACACACACACACATATATATATATATATATATATATATATATATATATATATAATGGTGTTGAATAAATCATTTGATGTCAAGTGGAAACTTGTAAAGGACCTTGCCAAAATAATTCAAATCATTATACTTAAATGATAAACCATTGTCACTCAGTTAAGGCTTACCTGCTTACCACATACAGCTGGTTGCTGTTTCGAATATTGCCAAGCACAATTCAGGATATATCTGAAAAAAAAGATCTTTAGTGTTTATTTATTTATTTATTTATTTATTTATTTTTTTTTTTACCCATAAGCTTTGTAAATTGACAATGTAAGTAAAAATGTATATTTTTTTTAATCATTTCACACCAAACAACGTAATAAATCCACTAAAGTGCAAGAGGTTTGGATGTGGAAAGATACGAGAACTATGTATGAAGAAACACGTAAAAAACACAAAACTGTGATACGCAAAATCAACAAACATCCATACATGCACATATACATACATACACACACATGAATCTATGTACACACATATGTGCTATTACCCATATAAATGAATCAAAACTTTGTGTGCATCCCCTGCCAAAAAAAAAATAAAATAAAAAAAAATGTTTTTAGAGATTTTAAATTTGTTCATTTGTCTACACTTGAAAATCGGTCTGTTTTGTTGATTTAACAACTAGTTAGCATTTGTGTATTTAATTATTATTTATATATATATATATATATATATATATGACAAATGGTAGTCCTAGTTGTGAACCGACTTAGTTCTTCAGCATTTAATGCACCTAGAAATAATTTTATGTAAAGTAATATGTCAATAACATTTTTATACTTAAGTTTTTAGTATTTCAGATACTTGAGCTAATGTATGTGCAATATATGTAAAAAATATGTACACTTAGTTCCAAACTATTTAACCCTTCTTTAAGCAATGTATACACAATACTATGAAATATATATATATATATATATATATATATATATATATATATATATATATATATATATATATATATATATATATATATATATATATATGCACATTTAGTACTTATTATACATAAAACACAGACTAACAATATATCCGCAATAACATAGCAATTAAATACCACATTACTCGGTTATGTCAAATATTACTTTTCATTTTAAATTGCATTTAAATATGGACATCTGTACCTACTTTGTAGTAGAGATCATTATACATAGCGTCTTCATGGCTCTGAAAGGTGTTGATGTTTTAAACATCTTACAAAATTAAAAGAAATTTTCTTGATTGGAAATATTTAGAGATCTGTTTCCATGATATGGCACAATATATAAAAGCAGAATACCAAAATACATTTTTATTGTGTGTCATCACTTGAATGCAATAGTAATGGCAAAGTATAATATTTGTGCTAAGCAACTAAGAAACTAACTAATGAAGGGAGGGCACGGTTTTCCTATTTGAATTTTCTGACGAATCTTACTTTTAACTTATGATTAAATAAACTCATGGAAAGTTCTATGATAATAAAATATCTGTAGATTGCATCATTAAATGTTTGAGCTTAACAACTTTAACAAAATATTGCAATAAGAATCACGAAAAGATTCAAAATTAACATTTTTTCAATTTCACTGAAAAAGACTTTAAATACTTGTATATTCCATTTCTTTCTTTTTTACTGAAACCAAATAGTGTCCTTGATATGTCTTTCCATACAATCAAAATGGAATAGTCCATTATTTATGAGGTATTGACAGGACATGTTAAACACTCCTCTCTTCCCTTCTTTGTTTCTTTCTTTCATTTTCTCACTGAAACCAAGTAGCATCTCTGTCATTTCCGTCTTTTCATGCTGTCCAAATGGAATATTCCATTATTTATGAGGTATTGGCAAGGCGTAACGGTCGTGCAAACTAAAGAGGTGACAAGCAGAATTATTCTATGATATTTATGATTACTTTTTAAATTGTTGGGCCATAAGTCTCTGATATGCACATATGCATGCTATATATTATGATTTACTTGAGAAAATTAATTTGAAAACTTGTACAAATATATAATTTTTATATTTGGAAATAACTTGAATTCCTATAAGTACCTAGGTACATTCGAATTGTTAACCCCCATCCCCCCATTTAGGGATGTGCCTCTGTTGCACCCAGTTATTGTTACTAATATTGATTTTCGCGTGGAATGACTTTAGACCTAAACTTCTCCAATTGAATGGTAAAATTTCCCAGTAATGAAACACCTGGTCGAAAACAGATTATACTGCTAGTTTTTCATACTTTTTTTTTTTTTACCTGCATAAATCCCCACTGATGATAGTCATCATTCAAGAATTTCCTTTTGTTTTTTTGTTTTTTTTAAATACAGAATCCTAAAGAAAGGTTGGGTTGTGTTCCTGATGCTGGATTTGAAGACATCAGGGTTCATTCATTCTTTCGTCAAATTGACTGGGATATGTTGGAACAGAAGCAGATCGCCCCGCCTTACAAACCAGAGTTGAAATCTGATCGAGATCTGCGGCGTTTTGATGAGTTGTTTACCAATGAACCAGTCCAGCTTACTCCTGATGATGTGTATGTATTTTGTTATTACAACTTTGTTTCTGAATAATCCTTTATCAAAAATTCTTAGTACTGGAAATGCTTTGGTTTTCAAATTTTTTTATAATACGGGTTATTTAATTTGTATATAGCATCTATAAAATGGATCAGCTTGGAAATGGAACCCAAGCATCAACACGATATCCCTTTACATTTCATATCACAGCTTATACATATACCCTGAAGGTAGTTTTATATAAATTTTAATAAATTTTGTGTACATACAGATACAAGTAATGATGCTAATCATGTAATTCTCACAAGGTTTTTTAAATGGTGAAATTTAAAGTTTCACATAAAAAATAATGTTTTGTACTTTCTGTAAATGTACCAAAAAAAGTGATACATTACTTACAAAAAATATATAAATGCAGGACTTTTTGTTATTTTGAATAATATCTTTACTGAGCATGAAACACCTGGTAAGTAATCCACGAATGAATCTGTTGCTGTGATGATCGCTAACAAAAAACTAGCCTCAATGTAGGCTACATAACTGGGCTTTCTGAAATTTTCTATTTAGGGTAAGTCATGTTGGAACTTGAAGAACTTTTGGAATTTCTGATAACGGAAACTCAAACTGTATATGGTAATGTCATAGAAACTGAATGTTATATGTTAACAATGTGTGCATCCGTGACCATTTTTTTTAAATGCCTTGGCTTCATTCTCGTTCACTTGATTGAATGTGGTCATAGAATCTCTGAATATCTGATCAGTTTCCTCTATATCAGGGGTCACCAAACTTTTTTTTACAGAGGATCAGATAAATGAGAGAATGACAAGCATGGGCTGGATAACAATTTTGTTCAATACGATACACTGAATAGACAAAAAATAAAGACAACCAACATATTTATTTACCAAAATGTTATCAAAGAAGTCAACATAAGCAATAAAATATTTATATCGCACCAGGTGCGCACACATCTGAATCTCACAAACTAAGCAGCATAAAAGGTTAATGAGATTTGTTAAACTGAGATTTGTTACCTTTTTTTAAGATAGAATCAATATTTGCTTTGGGAGTTGCATTGAACCAAGAGGATTGCTTTCAAATGTTCATCAGTCAACCTTGCTGACTTTACATACTTCATTTTGGAAAAATGTTTGCTCACAGACATAAGCTGATGCCATAGCAGAGGCAATTTTCTTCAACTTTGAAAACTCATCATTAGATAAGCAGCAATAAAATTCAAGATTTCCTTCTCTATGCTTCACTTTCATCAAGGCACTTGCTTGCAAATCACTCTAAAACTTTTATTACTGTCACATGCGAAAGTCAGATTGGTCAAATTTTAGTATTTTTACTTAAATTTATTTTATTTTTTTCTCTGTAGCAAGTTTAACTACAATCTATTGATGATTCCATATGAATAATTATATTTCAGCTCATTTGTGGCACAGTGCAGCTGTGGGTCGGATGAACTGACATTGAGGTTCAAATCCAGTTTACGGGCCATAGTTTGGTGACTCCTGCTAGATATCTAGATTGAAAGCCAGAGGGTTATTCATTCATGTATTGTGTGCCTTTGGGCCAAATGACCTGATGGAGCACATTTATTTCCAGATTAAACCAACATGGATGCCCTCCAAATTGAAGGCTCACCTTGGTCATGGCTGTTGATTCTCACAGGGACAACCACACACCCTGGTTGTTGACCTTAGTTTACTAAGCCCCCTACTTTCAGCAATGTCGAGTCATCATCACACTTGCTGCATGCATGGTTACAGATCCTAGTCTACCCTATTGTTCTAAGTGGCCATTGTCTCTACAAAAAGGTTCATCTGCCCCTTTGACAGGTGGGTGTCAAGGCACTCTCCTCACCAGAAAAGTCTTGCTGATGACCTGGCCATGTGGCAGGTAGTACTGGGTTACATGGTACCACAGGCATTTGTAGTGTGACCTGACCTTGCCTTCACAAATGGATTTGGGAAGTTATCTCTCTGTTGATATTGAGATGTGAGGGCTTATGGGTTAACAGTATTGAAAATAGATTTGAGCTTATGGCCATATCACATTGAAACACCGGGTATACGCTCATCAAAATTAAGCAACTTTGAGCCTGGTCAGTACTTAAATGGGTAACTGCTTGGGAATACCAGGTGCTGTAAGACTCTTTCTTTTCATACTGCTTGTTGTTGTAGACATGTGTTATATTTTCTCTGCGTAGGACACACATAAATATGTATGTATAATTCTGTGTATGATTTTTTAGTGGTATAAAACTCACTCCAAGAACCAAGCCTGTTTGTTGTTCCTTGTTTTAAAGCCATTCCAACAATTAAGAGGTGGTTTCATGCTTCTCAAAACCTCCATACTCCTGATCAGAGGCCTTGCTGCTGGATGTAGTTTATTATCAAACCCAGTACAAATCAGGATTAAGTCCTTAGGGATATGGCCCAGTAGATAACGGCATTGGTTGAAGTAATCCATTGACTTAACCCAAAGCAACACCTGGCCACAGCAGAGGGGAACAAAAACTTGGAGATTTGTGTTATTAAAGGAAATAACTGAAACTAAGACGTCCAGAAAAGGCATGGCACGTGGAACTAGAACAATCTATTCCAGTGGACTAAAGGGTTCAGTTTGAAATTTCAACATATATCACCTGAAGAATGTTGGAGTGTACAATAGCCGAAATGTTGTGAATATGAAAATAAAGATGAGGACAACAGTCTAAATAATGTAAATAGTTACAATACCTCATCTCAGGAATATAGACAGATGTTAAAACTTCTTTATAGAAAAATGTATTTGTTTCAAGTTCAAATTTTAAAATTGCTAGCTTGTCATATTTTCAACAGAAATTCAAAGTGGTCGCTTAGTGGTCAACTTTAATGAAAGATATTTGAAATACTTATTTTTAGCATTATGCTCTATTATACAGATATACTTTTGACAGGAAATAGTAATTTTTTTGTGCCTATATGTTCCTTTCATTTTATAAACAGCCAACTACAAATTAATATCTTCCATGAATGTCTTTTGCAGGAGCATCATTGACAAAATTGACCAATCAGAATTTGATGGCTTTGAGTATGTGAATCCGTTGCTGATGTCCATGGAAGACCCAGTCTGAGAAGAGACCAGAGAAAGAAAAAACAGAAAAGAAAATGAAACTAACACTATTGTCATTATGATTATTATATCTGCATTCCATTTTAGAAAAATGCTACTGACCAGTGGTCAGCCTGTGTTCCATGACAGTCTGTTTGGCTGGCGGTTACATTCCTGTCCTTGTGTTGGGTTCATCACTGGCTGTATTCTTTCCCTTATGCCCACCCCCACTTTTATTTTTTTTTTTTAACCCTTCTCTGCTCCCATACACCATTCTTTCATACTTTGGAATAAATCCCATTGTTCGCCCGTGATGAATACTATCTGAATGTTGCCTTTTTTTCTATATTTATTTTTTTGCAACTAACAGAACAAATGTATATTTTAACTACTCTTTCCCATATTAGTCCTCATTAGTTGGTACTTTTGATTTAAAAAAAAAAAAAAAAAAATATTGATCCCAAGAGGAATGTGGTGATATATATGTTTATATAATGTTCAGACTTAAGAATGTTCTTTGAATTTAAAAAAAAAAAAAAAAATTTAAGTAGAAGTAATAAAAATTAAGCTTGTTATGGTTATATACATGTATCACAGAGAAATTTGCTAATATTCCTCGTTAGTTTTTTTTTTTTTAGTTAACTTTTTGTTTTTTCTTTTCATTAAAATCTCATATTTTTCATTAAAATTCTAGCAACTTTATTATTTTTTTTTTTTTTTTTGAAGTCTGAGTGTAATATCACTAATTACATGACCATATTCCTCTTGTGACTTCTTGCTACTAGTACTCATTAGTCGATTTGTTCATTTAAATTTTAGTTTGGCATTTAATGTCTCATTTGCTCCAGCCAGAAACTATTTTCCCCATTGGGTTTTAGCTTATCGATTTGCTAGTTTGTTGTATTTATGATATTAAGTGAGTTCTACTGGCTGTATCCGTCTGTTTGAAAGGAGACACGGCATTAATTAGTGTGCGTGTATTTTATAGATTCTTCTCCTGAATGAATTTGCTTATTCTTTTTAGATATTCAGTGAAGTTATTCTGCCCTAGAAATACTTTCAGTACAAACCAAGCAGAACTGTTAATCCACTTGTAACAATTACTACGATTAACATTAAAGAAAACTTATTCGATGTATCTCTGCTTTGGATTTCACCAAATAAGCTATCTTAGAGCAGGTTCGTATTGGGTATGTAAATTACATATAAATATGTGACCTTTTGGGTACAATGGGTTATTTTACGCACACGTTTTCTTGTGCCTGCTTTTAACAAAATGCTAAGTTGAGAATGAATATATACACGCACACAAATATTATTTTATGTATGTATATTCACGCTTTTGTTTAATGTCCATTTCTGTGTGCACATTTACTCGTATACATAATGACTCAATTATGGAAAGATGTTTTTAGAATTTGGACAATAAAGGGACATCATTTTTTTTCCTTTTTTAAAAAGCAAATAGTTGTACTTTGGTTAACAGATGAAAGTAAATTTGTTTTAATAATGGCTATAAAGAAAATGGGGTCAGATCATTTTTTCTTTTTCCCCTCTCAATTCACTTCAAGCAAGGCGAATATGCCATGAAGACACAAAAGATTACTGGTTGTGAAAGAAAATAAAAAGACTTTAGAACGAACAGGAAATGTAATCCTAAACAGGAAACAAGGGATAAATCACTAATCCTGTTCAAAAGGAAGATTGTGAAATGTATGTCTCCCTGGATTTTTGAACAGGAGTAGAGGTTTATCCCTTCTTTCCTGTTTAGGACTGAGTTTCTTGTTCTTCCTAAAGTTTTCTCATTTTCTTTCATACCCAGTAGACCCTTGCATCTTAATGGCATTAGATTTTAAAAGTGTTTCTTTTTGTAAGTTGGTCTTGGGCATTATTCTGGAGATGCCCTATTTGAGCATATATAGACCTGAGAATTCAGTGTCATTTTTGTTTTTTTTTCATATTTATCCTAAATATATGAGTTAGCTGTTAAAATAATGTCAACTAATTTTTGCCATCTTCTCTGGGAGTTGTCTCCCTTAACACAAAATAAATTTTGTAGCACTGAGATGTTTTTGTTTGCCTGCTATTCTATGGAATATATTGATATTTATTTACACTATTTACATGAGGACTATTGTCCATATCTTTGTTGTTACCATCAATGTATATTGATCCTGGTAACCTACAGGAAATTTCAAACTGTTTGTACTTGGACTCTCTGTAAACAGTGAACAGTAACAGAACAGTCATAAAAATAACCAGACAAGATATCCCTAGACATGGGCAATGGTATGAGAACAGTCTTCCTTTTTAGATTAAATAAAGAATTCTGTTTGGAATTTACCATTTTTTTTTTCTTCAATAAAATAGTCAAGATGTTTTCCTGCTTGTCATGGCATATTTTCAATGTATCACTCTCTTTTTTTTTTTCTTTTTTTCTTTTCTTTTTGAGATCATATATCTATTGCTTATGACTACATCATGCTGAAACTGGTTCCTTTATGATCACCAAAGTTAAGCAACATTGAACCTGGTCAGTATCTAGAATGGGTAACCATTTGGGAATACCAGGTGCTGTAAGCTTGGATGTGTGGGTGGTGTAATGGATAATGACTCTGAATTTGAGATACAATTCCTGTCAGGTTTGTTATATTCACTTACGTGCAAATACCCTTGGGAAGGTATGAATCCACCTGTTCCCCTCTAGCTATGGGTTAATTAGTAAGATTTGTATCACTAAACCAATATTATCTAAAAAAAAAATATTTTTACAATCTAAATATATTTTCTGGCTTTAAATAACCTGCAAAGGGTTGGTAAGCCATAAAAATCAAGAATTAACTAAAATCTGCGATAAAGATTCAACTTATTTTGAAAAAAATGCCTTTTATTCATCACCATGTCCTCTAGTATCAGTTGAAACTAACATTTTTTTCTCCATATATTGTGATGATTTTGCTTAAAGTTAAGATTTTCTTGATTTCAGGTGAAAAGCTGGAAATTTTCCAATATATTTCAGTGAAATTTTCACTTTCCAAAATTATAGTTTATAATTAGTTTTTATATATATATATATATATATATATATATATAATGTGTAGGGTCAATTTAAACTGACACTTGTATATTTTTGGCCTTCAGATTATTTGAATTTAGGTTAAACGAGTTTTAAACCAGACACTCATATCTTGTACCCCAGGAATTTGCTATATTATTTAGCAATATTTCTATCATTTTGAATACTGAAGATTTTGACAGCCTGGCTTCTTCTTAGTTGTACTCTTTCTACCTTCATTTGTACTTTAATTTCCTTTAAGTCTCCAGGCATTTTTTTTTATTTGTCTTGTATCTTTGTATGAAAATGTTTAATCAAAGGTTCTTTGATGATTTAAGATAGTGAATCATTTATACAATTTTTTTTGCAGGGGTACAAAATTTTATTAGAGCAGAAGAGCAGACTTATTAAAATGGAGTTAATGTTGTGAAGCATTTTTTTTTTTTCCTATATAGGTAATCTTGGCATTGAGTACCTTTTCTTTACTGACTTGGTAGGTGTTTGTCTTTTAGGTCTTTTTTTTTTCTTTGTGATTTTCTCTTTATTAAGGTACTAGTTTTTTTTTTTTGGCAAATTACCATATATTGGTAATACTAAAATATAAGGATTAGTGGTCCTCCCTTATCAGAATAAAAGTCAAAAACAAAAATATGTACATAGAAGCTAAAAATATATATATAACCCCAGACTAATGTTATATGCAAAAAAAAAAAAAAATAAATAATAACATTAAAGGCTATTACCTTTAATATCACCAACCACTCCTCTTGCTGACAGAGAGATGGTTGATAGGACTTAATGTATATTGATTCCAAAAACCAAAAGTGATACTCAGTATTAGTCTTATCCAGCACTGAGAACATGTCCAAGCTATAATAATCTGAACATTGCTAATTATTAATCAGATGTTCACTTATTGTTGCACTTAATGAATTAACACACCTATATAAATTCTCCACTTTTCCCTTGCAAAAGAGAGAGGACTGTTAAACTGGTTTA